TTGGATCAGCATTGTGGCGGCAGCAGCTGCAGTAGCAGCAGTGAGCCTCCCAGACATGGCGGTCCCAGTGGAGAGGAGAGTGACTCTGGTGATGACTTGCTGAATTGCAGTCATGTAGGGACAGCTCTGCCCTCCTCGGTGGAAGGCACCGGAGAGAAAGAACTTCACGCTGCCGTGGAGCTCATCCGCTACATGCACACGTACTGCCTTCCCCCAAGAAAGCTGCCCCACACAAACCTTGTTGAGATGAAACACCAGCGTTTTCACAGCCCCTCCAAAAGAGCCAAGCCAGATGGGCCCCTGCAGAGGCCTCCGCTCTGCGGCAAGGACCGCTGTCCCTCTAGGGCTTGGCCTTTCCCTTTTTCGGGCTGCAAACAGTCCAGAGCTCCCGCTTCTGACTTCTCCATCCTGAAAGAGCTGCTTGCCAGAGACCTCCCCTGTGATGTGAGCAAGCCATACAGATTGGCCAAGCCTGTGTATGCCTCCTTGGCCAGATCCCAGCCCCAAAAATCTCCACGAGCCCCAGCTGCTGAGACCGGAGGGGGGTCTGTGGAGATGTGCACGTTCACAGCCAAAACACCACCGGAAGCGAAGACCGAGTCAAGGCAGGCCCCCAAAACAGAGCCTGGGACTAAGAAGGAAAACAGCAGCCCTGCAGAAGAGAGTGGGGCCAAGCAGGGGACTCCGCCGGTCCAGGTGGCCTCTGGCAAGGCAAGCCGCAAGCAGGAGAGCTGCGTCTATGCAGTGCGGCGCTCTAAAAGACTCAACCCGGAGCTCAGTCTCTGGCTATCATTCCTGGATGAGCCTCCTGCAGACCCTGCTGTGTCCACAGCGATCGCAGGGAACACGTTTGCCTCCTCAGATCCTACCGGGTGCTCCACTTTACGGAACTTTGACGCAGAAGCACCAGCAGCAGAGGTAGAAGTGACTGGTGTGGACGAAGTGGACAGCGGGTATCAAAGCCTCCCGATGGAGCTGCAGACCCCTTCGCCTGAGAGCTCAGGGGAGAACGACGTGTTTGAAATGAACGAGGGCCAGTGCTGTGCCCTCTTGCATCAAGCAGGTATAGAGCAGCTGGGACTTCTTCTCTTGACAGCGTTCCCATCCTGGGGCAGAGGGGAGTGGGAGAGGAGAAAGATAAAACCACATGAATGAGGAGCAGAAGCTGCCCTAGCCACCTTGTAGGTGTACGCCCAATGTTGTGTGGCCCTCTTTCTTTCCCCTTGAACAGAGGGGGAAGGGATTGGCAGTGGATTGGGTGCTTCAGGCCTGGTTACGAGATGGAGACGGCTTTGTCACTTGGGTGGGGGACCTATGTTGGGAACTAGGCAGGGAGAGTGTGTTTCTGTTGGTTCTGCTGGACCTCTCAGCAGCTTCCAGTGCCATCAGCTATGGTATCCTTTCCGGGCTGTCTCTCTGGAATGGGACTTGGAGGCACTGTTTTACAGTGGAAATGGTCCTTTGTGGAGGGGAGAACTCAGAAAGTGGTACTGAGGGACTCCTGTCATATTAGGAGAAGTTTTCCAGAGTTTTGAGGTCACCAGTATAGACACTCAGTTATGTCTCTCCTTTCCGTTTAAATCCAAGCAAGCTGTCTCTGTCCTAAACCAGGGCCTGAGGTAGGAAATGAGGGTGAACAAATTGAACAGAATGAGGATTCAGGCAGTGCTGGATGGGGTTACAGCCCCCCCGAAAAACACAGGTTCAGCACTTGGAGGTCCTTCCAGAATGATCCCTGAGCCTGAAAGCCCAGGTCTCAGCCATGGCAAGGGGTGCATTTGCACCATTAAAATATGTGCACCAGCTATGCATATTCCTTAAAATGTATTATCTCGCCATGGTGATACATACATGCCTTAGTTACATCCCATATGGATCACTGCAACACACTTTACGTGGGGCCGTGTTTGGAAAATTCGGCAGGTCCAAATTGCTGTAGCCAGATGGTTAACTGAGGAGCACGTAATTCCCCTGTTACAACAGCTCCACTGGTCCAATTTTGGGGGCCCAATTCAAAATGCTGGTTTTGACCTATAAAACATTAAATAATTTGGGTCCAAGCTACCTGAAAGACCACATCTTCCTTCATGGGGCCTGCCTGGGTTTTAAGATCGTCAGGGAGGCCTCTTTATTTTTTCTTCCAGTCTCACCATCCTCTGAGGTGTGTTTGATGAGAACGAAACAGGGCCTTCTCCCTTGCTGATCCCAAGCTGTGCAACTCCTTCCCACAGGAAGCCAGGCTGCCCCACATTTTTTCTGTGCTTCCCCCAGCAGGCAAAGACCTTTCTGTTCAGGCCCACTTTTTCTTGACTGACTGGTTGTGCATAAAGGGAGCTTTTAAAAAAAGGTTGTGTGGAGCGTATAAATAATAAAAAATGAATAAAATAAATGAATTTAACTTGTTCACAGTGGTGAACAGGAAGGTGGCAAAGCTTGTTGATGACATCACCAGAATCATTTGGGAGTATTCATCTATGCCACTGGTTCTTAACCTTGGGTTATTCAGGTGTTTTTGGACTGCAACTCCCAGAAGCCTTCACCACCAGCTGTCCTGACTGGGGTTTCTGGGAGTTGCAGTTCAAAAGCATCCGAGTAACAAAGGTTAAGGACCACTGATCTATGCCATTCACCCTTGTGAAGCCCTATCTCCCTTCCACAGTTGTATTGACTCTTGCAGTGGGCTTTGTCCCTTCCCCTTCATTAATACAAAATCAATAAATTCTCCCCATATGCCTATACAAAACATCTGCCATTTACCCCTCTTAACTTTTTTTTACACTTAAGCTTATCATTGACAGCTATATCCCAAACTTCTCTGTACCAGTCACTTAAATCGAAATTATAAACTGTTTTCCAATTCTTTGCTATAGTCCGAATAGCCATGTATTTCCTTGCTGCGGTTAACAAGTTGGAATCTAATTATTTAGTTGTCCAATTACATTTCTCCTTTTCAAATATTGACCAAAGTGTTATTTTAGGATATACAGCCAAGTTTAAATTGCTTATTTCATTTATTTCCTTAAAAACCAATTGCCAAAATTTCAATATATTCTCGCATCTCCACCACATGTGAAAATATGTACCTGTTTTCTGGCATCCCCTTCCAGCACATCGGAGAGTAATTACCGTTTATTTGGTCAAGTTTCACTGGAGTACCATTCATTTATTTCCTTAAAAACCAATTGCCAAAATTTCAATATATTCTCGCATCTCCACCACATGTGAAAATATGTACCTGTTTTCTGGCATATGTACCTTCCAGCACATCAGAGAGTAATTACCATTTATTTGGTCAAGTTTCACTGGAGTACCATGTCCAAACCAACTTAGAATTTTTCTTTTATGCCTATTGACATAAATTTCAATAGTGTGATGTTCCATATATTTTTCCAAGCACTAGTACTTATTTTTTTTCTCCCACATTGAATTCCCATAACAATTTAAGTAGGTCTTCCTTATGTTCTGCTTCCAATAATATAAATTTTACTTACAGTACCCTTCACAAGTTTGAGAGAGAGAGAGATTACAAAAGTATGTATACTGTAGGGAAAAAGTACCCTTCACAAGATTGAGAGAGAGAGATATTACAAAAGTATGTATACTGTAGGGAAAATGGAGAGGAAGAAATTTTTATCTTTTTATTTTTGTAGTAGAATTTAGGGTCACTCATTGAAGCTGAAGGCTGAGAGTTTCAGGACAGATAAAAGGGAGTTACTTCTACACACATTCAACAGTTCAGCTGTGGGTCTTGCCATCCTAAGATGTAGTGACAGCTGTATACCTACCTACACAGCTTACTGTGGGGCTGGATAAGTTGTGGGACTGGATAAGTGAAGATTAGGACCATCCGTGGCTCCTAGTCAGGACAGCTGTATATATCCTTCAGCATCAGTTACTGGGGGGATGCAAGAGAGAAAATGCATCCTGTCCTGGTGGTGGGCTTCTGGGAAACATCTGGCTGGGAGGAAAATACAGATAGGCCTGTGATCTGACCTTCTTACATTCTGCAGCTCCTTCAGTCATTCTGGTTTTCTCTGCTTTTTTCGAAACATCTGGCTGGGAGGAAAATACAGATACATTCTGTAGCTCCTTCAGTCATTCTGGTTTTCTCTGCTTTTTTTTTCCAGAAGCACCAAGATGTCTGCCGCTGCCCTTGGCACAAACGTAAGTGTAATCCCAAAAATAAATCTGAGAGAGTCATAACCTCAAGTGTCATGATCCAGCAAATATAACATATGGCGATCTGAGAAATCTGCAGCTTTGATCCACCTTGCCAGGCTTGTGGGGTTGCTTGGCTGGAAACAAATCTCTCTCCTGCTCTCTCCTGTTTTGTTAATGTCAGCAGAAAAGGGCTTGTTTCAGTGAAAAGTCAGATGCCTTAGAAAATATCACATGAGGTACAGTCTGGTCTGGAGTCTAAGTCAGCTGATAGTAGAATATCAGGGTTAAAACCACAATTTCATGTTAGGCCAGCCTTGTTGAAGGTTCATTCCTAGAGGGGTATGAGCCTTAAAAGTAGGGAGCCAGCAAAGGGTGTTTCAGTAGGAATACTGTAATGTCCAGCAAATGTAAGCATTTTTGAGACATAGGTATCTGTATCTTGGGTATGGTGCTAAGAATTTAGACCCAGGTCCCATGTTCATACGTCCTGACATGCACAGGAATGTATGTATATATTCATTAGGGGAAAAACTGAGATGTTTTTGGACAGTGTTTGGGGATTATCGGAGCCGTTGTCATCCCAATTATCTGGAAGACAGGGTTGCCTAGTCATGACTTCTAGAATACAGACATGTTTGTAACTATATCCTACTATGCCTCACAGTCTGAGTAAGATTGGCTATCTCATGCACATATTGGGATTAAACACACACACACACACACAGAGACAGACACAATTCCTGCTTCACACAGTCAAGTGGCACTTTCTCACTCCCATTGACTTCAGTGTTATGGAATAGCCGGCCTGATCCGTGCTGCTCTGATGTCATAGAGAGCAAGAGCAGACTAGAGCTAAGCTGGTGGTGCCCTCAAAGCAGAGGGGGAGAGCAGGACTTGCTAAGTGCAAAAGATTTTCCTCCCAACTAGCAGCTGCTGTTACAGCTAGAACTTCGGATGCGAACAGAATGGGCATCCTAGGAGACCTCTAAATCCTATTCAGTCATTAGGAAATAGCATATAATGGTTGTTGTGGGTTTTTCAGGCTCTTTGGCCGTGTTCTGAAGGTTGTTCTTCCAAATGTTTTGCCAGTCTCTGTGGCCAGCATCTTCGCGAATATATTAAATAGCATATACAGTACTTTCTACAGGTAGAGAGGAGTGGTCTAGGTCTGTTCTCCTCATAGCAGCAAGGCTTGTGGTTTCTGGTTGTGTCATCATTCTACACAACAAGATCATGAGTCTAAAAGAGGCTTATCTGTGGAGGCTGTCCTTGTGAATCAATCAGGGTGCTGATTTTCTAGAGTTCTGGCTCATGTGGGGACCCCCTTCCACAGACAGTAAGTCTGAAGTCCTCTTCAGACTTACAGCTGTCCACATGTGTAAGAGACCAACATGATAGAAGGAGCAAGTCTAAATTACTCCATTCGACCCATGCTATGTACAGATGATTTGATAATCAAGGTCTACACTTATTAACAACCAGAAAGAGCTGGAAAGGCCCACTAATGTCAATTGCATCTTTAAGCTGAAAGATAAAGAGCCATCAGACTGGAGATGTTCATAATATATATTTCAAAAGAATATTTCCTACATAGGATAATTTAATCTCATCACCATTTATAAAGGTACCATCTCCTAGCCAGCTTTGTATTTCTGAAGAAAAATGAATGGGATGAATGCAACACTAGTAGTTCATTCAGAATAGTTCTGTTAATTGTGCCTGGCCCTGGCCTGACCTGACCTGACCTGACCCAGGACAACTCTATGTCCTATGACAAGGACACGAATGTCTCAGAACCAAGAGACCCTGGGAAGTAGACTGAGACCCTCGTCTCTAGACCTAACAGAAAGACTCCACTTATCCAGAGAGTGATGTCGCCCAGCCTTTCTCTAAAGGATGTCCCGGAAAGACTTTCAAGGTAGGTTCCTGATTCAGCTGCAGAAAAAGGACTCCCTTCTGAGTCAAAGAGGCTGAGAATGCAGGTGTTGGAAAGTGCAGGAGCTGTCAACAAAAGTGCCTGTGTTTGAGAGCCCAGATTAACAGGATTCAGGAAATGGAACTGAGATGGTGAAGGGCTCCTCAAGAGCAGCGGTTTCAGCTTGGCCTGCGCCAGCTCTGTGAGACAAGCCTATACAGATCAATCATCAAGCTTGAAGCGACCCATGCCTTTCAGTTCCTTACCTCTTGCAAACTGGCTTCCCTGATTGTACACCAGCTCTGTGAGACAAGCCTAAACAGATCAATCATCGAGCTTGTTGAAGTGATCCATGCCTTTCAGTTCCTTGCCTCTTGCAAACTGGCTTCCCTGATTGTACTCTACTTGTTGACTATGCTGCTGATTCCTAGATAAAGACCTTCTCATGTTAAATTGCCTTTTGAACTGTTTTAGTGTGCTTTGATGCTAGCTTCACCCAAGACTCTACTTTTTGGATTGCCGTTCTTACTGAACTCAGCCTACTTTTTGCCATGTTTTCTTTGCCTCGCCCCTTCTGTTCAATGTCTGAAGTTTGACCTGGCCTTAGCAGGTTATCTGCTGACATTTATGGCTCCTGTCTGACTCCTTCTTGGCTCCCACCTATCTGCTTCAAACAAGGAGACACAAGGAAAAGTGCGTGTTGCCTGGATATATATACCCACATGCAATGACATTTGAAGGATTCCATGTTTGTTGGGGGCTTCTGCCACTAGCACGCTGATAACACACAGTTCTCATTCTCCTTTCCATTTAAACCAAAGGACGTTGGTCTGGTTCTTAAACAATGTCTGTTCTCAGTTATGGACTGGATGGACTGAAGCTTGACCTAGTCCCAGTCAGTTGAAAGACAGATCAGGGCAGAGAGATTAAACCTGTATTGGATGAGATCACCCTCTCCTTAAAGACTCAAGTTTCACAGTTTGGGTATACTTTTAGATTCAGCCCTGAATCTGGAGGCTCAAGTTTCCTTGGTGGCCAGGAGTATGTCAGCTGTGCCCATTACTCTACATGTGACCTCTTCTGAAAATTATTTGAAAACTTCAGCTGCTGGGGAATGTTGCATTCATATTGTTGAGGATTACAGAGAATGTGACTCCCTTATTAAGACAGCTGTATTGTTTCTGGAAGCAATTCAAAGCACTGGTTAAGAGCTGTGATGTTATTTGGGACCAGGCTGATAGACTGAGTGCTCCTCATGAGCCTGCCTTGGTTTTGAGATCTTTGGAAGGGGGCTTTCTCTTTATCTGTCTACCTTTAGAGGGATGTTGGGCAGAAGAGAGCTTCATTATTGACTGTGGAACGCCCGGACTACTGAGTCTGGTCTGACTCCCTTTCCATTGTTTTTTCCACTAACAGGCAAGAACGTTTCTACACAGACAGGTCTTCATCATTCAGGCTGCATTGCTGTTAAGGTGGATCTGGTTACATGACTTAGAAGCAAAATATCTTAGATGTGACTTTGGCATTCTTAAGAGAAGAGAGTACTTAACACGAGCTCTTCCTGAACTCTGTATGGATCAACTGAAACCAAGCAAACTGTTAATGCACAGGTCATGTGCAGACTCCTTCAGCAGATCACACTCTGCCCAATATGTTTATGGGCTAAGGTTTTGATTTTCGAGAGGTCACTCTTACTAGAACTGGTCTGACAGAACAGTCACTTGCATTCATCCCAGGTCTTCATGAGAGTAAAGTTGGACAAGAGGTTATGCTACATTGGAAGGGTATCTTCAGATGCCATGCCTGGTACCTATGACAATAGCACCACTGATGATAATGAGTAGGAACATTCCTGTGCTGCAAGGACTCTTTGGCAATATATGCCTGGGGAACATCCTAGCTGTGGTGGGTCTTTCAGCATCAAGATGAGGCTGTGCAAGTTTACTTCTGAACAGTTTGATTTCTGCAGACCTTGAGTGCCCTGTCTGGGCAACAGGAGACAGCATTGCCCAGATGTTCTGCAGGAAGTAATATTTATATGCTTGCACAGGCTTTGAAATGACAACCTAGTTATGCACATCAGTTGAGTGGTTTTCAAGTGGAAAGTCACTAGCTACTGTTGGCTGCCTGAGAGTAAATGCAGTGTGTTCTTGTACAAAGGAGTACGGTTGCATGTATAGAAATGTAACATGCCACTGTTCAAATCTGTTTTAGTATTCCATTCCTGTTTTATTAGCTTAAGCTTGCCATTTGTGTTAAAGGGAGAGCAGAACCAGTGCCCTTTTTTTTTTGCTTACTCAGTCTGGAGGTTAGCTGCAGGTGATCTTAACTCACCAGATGTGACCAATTTAGTGGTTGTTTACACAATGTTAACGCAAGAATTTACACTTTGTGGGGGGCACATGGAGGTTCTGCACAGCTTTCCCTTCATCTTTACAGCCTCTTTGTTTCTGCCTTGTTGTGAAGCACCGGTTGTCTGGATTCATGGGGGCACAATTTGCAGGGGTGGGCTTGGGAGAGTGAGGAGTGGGTACCAGCCCTGCCTGGTGTTACAGTTAGCTTCCCTGTAGGATGTGTGATTGGCATGGACTCATATGACTTTCCATTTCCTGGCTAACCAATTGCCAGGGGCTTGGTTGGCTGAGAGGGGGCAGGACGGCCAGAGAGGATAGGATGAAACAGTCTTATCTTTGGTCTACCTCAGGGGTATAAAAGTATCAGTCATGCATTCAGCTGGGATGCAGACACTTAGTTGAGTTTTATGATGGTATTTTTGGCTTTATATGATATTTGATGCTGGAATCAATGTCCAGTGCACCAGTGCTATTTACAACTATAATCAATTAAGTTGTGGCCATATTTTATTTCATTTGTTCTGCAAAAGCAATGTTGTGTGTGTGTGTTTCTCTGCTTGCTTGAAGCATTACAGATTACCACGCATACCATTAGTCTTGCAACCACACAATCCCCATCATGAATACATACCTTCAACCTGCAATAACTTCTCTTCCCTGTATTTCTTATCTTCCTTAGAGAACCAACCTTTGGGAAGCGCAATTTCGAACAAGTGCTGACTGTAGAACTGTGCGGCACTGCAGGTAAGGACAAGCATTCATCTTAAGATGCTGCCATTGTAAATATATTCCTTCAGGATAATGGACAAAGAATGGGGAAGCAACTACAAAATATAAGGATAAGCTAGTAACTTGAGAATTTCAATTCATATTGCAGCCAAATTGCAGGGAAATCTGGACATCTGTACACATTCTTCCCATTTCCCCTGTCTATCTCAAAATATAGTTTTTTAATAGCACGAATTACCAGGTTGCGGTAGCCATTTTCCCATGCCAAGTATCAACCACATGGTGTAACTATCTAACATCAATTATATGGCAGCATTTAAAAGCTCAGGGAAAGGATAGGGGTTCATTATGAAAAGAGTGATCCGATTCCTTTTGTATCCATGACTTTTTACTCTCATGCTTCTTATACTGAAAGAGTCTCTTGCTTTCTTGGGGGAGATAAGGTCTCACACCACCAACAACTCCACCATACAAGCCTTCAGAGGAGGAACTATACAAGCCAGACATTCACCAGAGGCCAGCAAAGGAGATGTCCATCACTGCCAGCATGGAGCCACCACTAGTGACAGGTGATGGGGAAATCTCCAGGAAGCACCAGAAGAAACACCCAGTGCGGACAGAGCTTTATGCACACCTGAGTCGGGCGGCTGCCCATCCCTCTCAACCTGAGCAACCTGTGGTGTTGAAGCGCCCCTTTTCACGCTCCTTCGGTGACCATGACTATTGCCAAGTCTTGAAGCCTGAGGCCTGGCTCCAGAGAAAGGTGCTGAAATCCTGGGAGCCTGTCAGCCAACAAAAGCAGAGAATGCCGGATGTGCCCCGTCCGGAAGTAAGCGAGCAGGGTGCTGAGAAAACCTCGGCAAAGAAGGGCAGCCAACTGCTGCGAGACCAGGAGATCAGAGCCAGCTTAACAAAACATTTTGGCCTCTTGGACAGTGCCCTAGATGATGATGAGACGGCCTTCTGCAAGACTCCTGACTATGACACAGTCTTTGAGGACAGCTGCAGTGAGATTGGTTCCCCTCTGGAGGAAGAAGAGGAGGAGGAGGAGGAAGAGGAGTGCTGCATGAGCCCATTGGAATCCAAGATGTGTCCATACAAGAATTCTCTTTCGAGGACCAGTTTGCACTACTGTTCCCAAAGCAGGTCTGATTCAGAGTCTTCATGCTGCAGGTCCAAGTCTCCAACAAGCCGATGGGCGTTCAGGTACGGTTGTGAGTTTACGACGCCTTTGGGAATAGGGCTGAAAATAGGTTAATGGTAGGAAAATCACTCATGGGTTGCCTTAGCTAGCCTTGAATCTCTGTTGCACTCGGCCATTCCCTACCAGTGAGTGAAATTTTGAAATACTGTTGCTCTCCAGCAATGATAGGAAAGGAAAAATAAAGTCTTATAAAGTTCTCAGGGCAAGAATGCAGCTCTTCTCTTATGCTGTGGAGTGCTCTCCATGTTTAAGTACTATGAAACCCAGCATGATGTAATAATTTCCAGAAAGTTAGCCATGTTAGTCTACTGTGGTAAAAACAACAAAGAGTCTTGTGGCACCTTAAAGTCACAATGTTGTGAATGGGAGCTCCGCTGTAGGCATCTGAAGAAATGGGCTACAGTCCATGAAATGTGAGGTCAAATATTAAAAAAACCCCAACATTTTAAGGTACCCCAAGAGTCACTGTAATGTGGCATTTAGGGTGTTGAACTGAGACTTGTGAGCCCTGAAACACACTGGGTAATCCTAGGCCAGCGAATCTTTCTAGGCCTAACCTGTTGTGGAGGAGGGTCATATATACTGCGTTAAAATCATGGATTAAAAGCCAGATTTAAATATAACAAATAAATGAAGTAATCAGATAGGGACTGTTATTCAAAATACATTGAAATGCAACTAAATAACACATTGAGTTTCATTTGAAAAACACTGGCAAGATGCCTAGGAGATTTCGGAAAGATATGGGGGGAAAAAATCACTCTTTTGTCTCCTTCTGTGTGGCAGCAGCTTCTGCTTGACTGCCATCCCCCATGGTGAACAGAAGGAGTCACTTTCAGAAGGACTACTCTTCTAGGGCCAGGAACAAATGGGACAAAACATCCACATGCGCCAAAATAAATTTAAGATCCAGCAAACCTGGAGTCCAAAGACAGGATGACTTTCCCTAAAAGCATCCCTGAGGGAACTTTTTTCCCCAGCTGCATTGGGCACAATAAAGGGATGTGACTACCCAGTAAGGGAAATGCACATTCACTCGTGGTGAAGTTCTACCAGGAAACTGGAGTCTCTTCAATTTAAATGGCCACACTTAGATCAAACTACTTGCCATTCTACTTAATGGCCATGCAGGTTGGCACTGTTCAAAGAACTGCATTAAGAGGCAAGGAGACCATTTTTTCCCCCCTGCCTCGATTACCGGCTTCTGACATGGGATTTTGTTTTGTAAAGCTGTTTAAAAAATTATAATAAGATAACAAGGATGTTGCCTAGGAGAAGGATGTGTGTGCTCTTAAAATAAAGGGTGAGAGGGAAAGTGGGAATATGCTTTGAGTGTATGTGTGTCCCTTTCTGCATCAATTCAAGCAATCACATGCTTGGATCAATCTAAAAGTTTTTTTTTAATTTTTAAAAATAGAAGGAAAACCTATGGATTGGGAAGTGGGGAGACTTACACACAATAAAGACTGTCGCCACTAATAGAAGGACTAGCAACCTAGCAGAGGCTCCTGCTCCTCCATCTTTCACCCTATATTTGATATCTTTCCAATCTGTATTGCTTTCAACTGTGGGTCCAAGCTTATGTCTTTGACTGTCTGTGAGATTCTCAGTTATTTTTTTTAAATAGATGAACCAGACCCTATAAGCAAAGAGTATTATTTCTGTTTATGATTTCTTACACTCAGATAATTTAGGATCCATTCAGTATGGGATTCACATGCCTCCTTGTCTGTCAACAGATGTGAAAACGGAAAGCACCGCCAAGATGGAACTACAAGCAATCGGGGGAAAATGGAGAAGAAAAGAGAAAAAGCTATTGTAAGTGACCCTGGAATTCTGCTTTTTCCTTTTGCACTGAATGTAGTAAAGATCATGTGGTTTCCAGCTGGGTCAGATGACTTCCTTTTTTCAAAAAGCTCATCTGAATTTGAGGACAAAGCTATTTCCATTCAGTTTCCTTCCCTGACAGTTGTAAAATAGTGTGTTGGCTATGGTTGCGATATCCTTTGGTTGATGGCCAAATTAAGCAAGTGTAGTGAAAAGGAATAATGTGAAAGCAACTGGCAGCTCATAAAGTTCTTGGCACAGGACAAACCCTGTGCAGAATTTGTCCACATGCACTTCTGAGGAGCCGTGTGGGTTGGAATTTTGGAAATGTTTGCTGCTACAGACGAAAGTCAGGCACCTTTTTTAAAAAAAAGTTATAATGGTCATAATAATTGGCTGGAAATTGGGAGTGTCCAGTTCCCACTGAGGCATGAAATTCTCTAGGTGACCTTTAGCAAATTCACTTCTCTCAGTCTTCACCTACCTATTGAAGTTATTGCTGTGAAGATAAAGTGGGGAAAGAGGAGAGCCACTCACACTGCTTTTCACTCATTGGAAGAAAGGGCAGGCTGTGCATAAGAAAGAAGGATAGAAATGCAGAGCAGTAATCTCAAAGCAATGAATTACAGGGGCTTTTTTGAGAAACAAACACAGATCTATCCATGCATTCGGCGTACAGTGGTGCCCCGTATAGCGACGTTAATCCGTTCCAGGATTAACGTCGCTATACGGAAACATCGTAAAGCGAAATTAAAAAGCCCATTGAAACGCATTAAAACCTGGTTATTGCGTTCCAATGGACTACAAAGTGGCAGGGACAGGGTGGAGGGGTCCCGAAGGCTTCCAGGCTTTTGCCTGGAAGCCTTCGGGACCCCTCCACCCTGTCCCTGCTGCCCCGCGCTGCCGAGCCCAGGATGCCTGGCAGGCATCGGGTCTCCCCACCTTCCCCCCGCGGCTTGGATCGGACCCGCGGGGGCTAGCCCTGCCATGGCTGGACTCCCAAGAGTCCAGCCATACCCCGGGTAGCCCCTGTGGGTCGGATCCAAGCCAGATCCAAGCCGCGGGGGGAGGGGGGAGGGATCCGATGCCTGAAAGGCATCCGGATTCCCCCGCTCTCCCACCCTCTCCCCGCGGCTTGGATCGGACCCGCGGGGGCTAGCCCTGCCATGGCTGGACTCCCAAGAGTCCAGCCATACCCCGGGTAGCCCCTGTGGGTCGGATCCAAGCCAGATCCAAGCCGCGGGGGGAGGGGGGAGGGATCCGATGCCTGAAAGGCATCCGGATTCCCCCGCTCTCCCACCCTCTCCCCGCGGCTTGGATCGGACCCGCGGGGGCTAGCCCTGCCATGGCTGGACTCCCAAGAGTCCAGCCATACCCCGGGTAGCCCCTGTGGGTCGGATCCAAGCCAGATCCAAGCCGCGGGGGGAGAGTGGGAGAGCAGGGGGGTCCGGATGCCTTTCAGGCATCGGATCCCCCCACCCTCCCCCCACGGTGGCCTCAGAAGGACCCTTCAGAAGGGTCCTTCGAAGGCCACCGCAGGCATTTTCCCCCAGCTGAGTGGCGGGAGCGCTCCTTTGGAGGCTTCCGCCGCTCAGCTGGGGGAAAATGGTGCCTATGGGGAAACCATCGCAAAGCGATTTTTCCCCATAGGCACCTTCGTTATACGATCGCACCACTGTATTTAAATTTCACTCTTTTTCCATCACAAAATGCATGGTGATGTAGGTGGGGTTCCCAATCTAGACACAGACCAGATCCAAAACTGCTTAGCTTTAGAAAGGTGTGTACATCATGTGCTTTCAGATAATGACATGGGGCACAAGATGCCAGTATTTATTCCTTCTTACTCCATCACAAGTAAATTTTTGGAGTGGAATGGAAATTTGGTTTAACACTGATACTTGCTGGAAAGCTCTGCTCATAGTGAGCTCAATAAGCCCTACAAATGGAGTGGGGGAAAACACATGGACCTTCAGATGCTATTTGGTTGCATCTCTTATTATTGTGTGTGCCATTGTGGTCAGTGGGGAGAGAGGGCAGGCGTGGCAGCCCAGCAACTTCTATAGAGCCACACCATCTAATGTCCGTAAAGAGCACCCTTTCTGCAGTACTTCAGGTAGAACCAAAGGCTGCATCTGGAAACTGCAAAAGAGATCTGCTCCACTCCTAGTAATCTCTGCCCAGGCTTGACTGCTGCACGTTTCTGTCTCCTGAAGATTGGCAAATCTGGTTCTTATTTTACTTCTTCCTTTCCTTTTTCTCAAAACAGAAAATGGAAGAAGAAAAAAGTGTGCTTCGTGTAGTATACTTAGGGTATGATCACACAGGCATCTCACTCACATTTGGGGCTGCTTGTGGTGCAATCTAGTGTGAGCTCTTTTCCTGCCAGTCACATGACATATGGGTAGAGATAGATACAAACAGCTTGTTTGATGGTTCATGTTGGTTCAGTGAACAGCCAAAAATGTGTTCCATGATTTGGCATCCCTCCACTCTCTGGTGGGTTCCCACTTGGAGGCAGCACCCAGGCTTCCCTGCGCCAAATCCTCTGGGCACTGCCTCTGAGTGGCTGCCTTCCAGAGGGGACGGTGCACTGAACCAGGGAATACCTGTTTAGCCATCCACCAAACTGGTGGTTCATGCCCATCTCTACATATGGGCAAATGCACTCTAGCCCAACTTTGATCTGTACCCATGCTGCACCTTTTTTTTGGTCCAGTGTCAGGGCTACTCTTTTTTGGGGGGCAGACTAGAGGTATTTCCCAATGGACAGGAGAGTCACTTTGAGGGAGTGACAGAGTTGCGGTATTACCAGGATACACCAGGTGGCGCTAACCAAAAGAACTTCCCTGAGAGATGAAGACACCAAGCAATAAAGCAGTGTTGATAGCAGAATAGTTGTACAGTATTATTTAAAGGATATATACATACATGTACAGCTTAGTCCTTGTTGCCAGTCCCGAAGTCATACACAGCAGTTTCAACAGAGTTCAACGCATAAATCAGAGTCAAAGTCCTTATAAATTAGTTCAGCAGTCAAATACCATATGTTCAGTCCAGTAGCCAGAGTCTTCTTCCAATATACAGCACGAAGACACGGCTTCTTCCAGGATACTCCAGCACAGCAACACGACGACACCAACCCACACCACCACCAATGACACCAACAGAGTGTGTGTGCTAGGTCTGCTAGCTTTATCCCAGGGTTATCCAATCCTGGGATTTCTTCCTCAGCGGTTACAATTAACTCAGCTGTATAAATTCTAGCCTTACTTCTTTCTACAGCACTGATTCTTACAAACACTTATTTCATTGTACAAAATTGTATTCAACAATTCCTCCAGGTTTATCTTAAACCTGTCAGGGAGCAACCCTTTCCAGTGCGTTCAGACACTATCCTTTTTCACTGTCTAATTATATCCTTAGTTCTTAGGTCTGAACATGCGCACATGTGTGTGTGTGTGCACGCACATGTTCAGACCTACACACACACACACACAAACACACACACACAAACAAACACACACACAGAGTTTTCCAAGAAAAATAGCACCACAACACAATATAATCCAATGGATGGTTCCAGTTGGATTACACTAAATAGAAAAATATTTACTGAAAAGATGAATTATTCAGGAATAGTCCTTCTCTTCTGTCCGGTTTTTGCACTATCAGCAGAGAGTTGCACTTACCTCTCAGAAGATGCTGAGTGGAGGTTGTATAGAAAAAAAATATTGTTGCTCTACTTGTATAGAAAAAATGTGTTGTTCCTGGCCTTTGTGCGCATCGTACCTGTTATTCAGAAGACTGCAAGGTAGAGATATGCTATCCCTGTTTCCTCCTTGCTTCCTTGTACTGTTCTGTAGGCCACCATTCTTTTATACCAGCCTCTTTTTCTTCAGTAGTTCCTTTCACCCATCAGGTACTCTCAAATTTGAACAGACCTGAGGAAAAATATTTTCTGAATAATATTGTTCCCCTAAAGATCAGTCTAGAAGTGGAGACTTCACCCTCAGAAAAGCTATGAAGAGTCAGTAGTATTGAGGGAGGAGATCAGTAGGTTCCACTCTTAATTTTGCAGTGAAGCTTAAAAAAAGGATCAGTGCAGCCTTTAAAAGGAAGGGGGCATGCAAATGGCATCTAATATACCATCTATAAAGAAAGGGTAGCAGAAGCTTTTCAAAGAGCTATGTGCCTGAGAGACTTTGTGCATTTGGTACTGGCTTGTAGCTCAAGCAGGATGGGGAATATCAAGAGATGTTGTTTCAGGGCAGGCCTGAGTTATCATTCTTATCCCTGAACAGGGAGAAGGCCGGGTCGTGTACATTAGAAATCTTGCAAGCAGCATGAGCTCCAGTGAACTGAAGAAACGCTTTGAAGTGTTTGGAGAGATAGTCGAATGTTGTGTTTTGACCAAGAATAAAAGGTGGGTCAAAGTCCTCCCCCTTCACGGCCACTATGCTTGTACCCTTAAACTTTTTTAAAGCAATATTGATAAATTACTAGTAGCAGCACCTGCTGTCACAAAAACAACATGAATACATTGTTCAGAAGGAGACACCCTTCCCTGCCATCTTGCCAGTGCAAGAGGGCTTGAGCGGAGAAAGGGACATTTCCTGCTTTCGATTGTAAAGAAAGGGGTGTCCCCCCTCTTTTTTTAACCTTGCTCTTCACAATACTTTGCAATTCTTTTAAAACCCACTTCCTCTTCCTGATGCTGCTCAAAAGGGAAAAGAAAAATGGAAGCCAAGAACTTAGAAGGAGAGATATGCAGGGAAATAAGGAAAAGGGGACAAGTGAATAAAGGAGGGAAGGGGAAAGGGGAGGAGGAAAGAAGGCTTGTACTGCTCTATTGGCATATCACTTTTGATTTTTAAAGAAAAAAAAGGACAAGGAGGCTGATTGCCTCAAGAAACAGTAGAGAAAATGAATAGATACAAAATTAAAGAGCAGTGTAGCCTGCTGTAATGGTTCAAATACAAAGAAATGTAACAGTGCAGTTCAAAACAATGGAAACACTTCTGCCAATATATATAGGGATCAAAAAATTGGACATTTGTATTGTGCTGTATTCTTGGCTGTGCTTACATTCTCTCTCTCTCATTATTCAGGGGAGATAAATATGGCATCATCACGTATCGATGTTCAGAACATGCCGCCTTATCCTTGAAGAATGGTGCCTCCCTGAGGAAAAGAAATGAGCCCTTGTTCCAGCTGAGTAATGGTAGTTTGGGGCATTTCTTTTGGACCAGATACACTGATTTGGGTAAGCAAACAACACAGTTAGGCCAGAGCACCCCACTATTACCCAACAGGAGATGTTGGTCTTGGAAATTGCTTTTGCTTTTTTTTTGCACATGTTGCCATTTATGCCACTTAGGGGCTTTCAGCATGATTGTAGTCACTATGGACAGGGCTCAGCGATAAACTGGAAAACAGGGTGGGTCAAATAATATTGGAATAACAGATTTCAATCAACATGCTGGAAGTAGGCTGCTCTTTCCAAACACTCTCCAAAGGCTACCCTACATAGAGTGTGTGGCATTAACCTATCCAAGTTATAATCAAGGCCTGTGGCCAGTTCAGTTTTCTCCAGGAAAGGGCCACAGCTGGTGCACTAGTCAGAGCTATACAAAAGCCACCCCTGGTTGCAGCTACCACATAACTATCCAAGAGGAAAAGTGGAATCAGAAGCACTCTGGGAACTACAGTACACTACACTGCATCTTTCTCTTTCCCCTCGTCCCTGCCCAATTTTTTGTTGCCATGTGTGGGGCTCAGACTCTTTTTGTGGGACCCGTCATTGAAGGCAGCAGAGCAAGTGGCACAGAATCAACCATTACATACCACAGTATCAATTGCAAGAACAACTGTAAGAAAACCATTAACTCCTAGATCTACAAAACTGTAACAGTCTCCCCTATTACCATATCATCTGCTGATTTCACCCATACTGAGTATCTACTGATGCTAGTTGTAGATCCCTGGTTGTGGTGACTCAGGGCCATATTGACTCTCCACAGTCATGCCCACCCTCACCCCCTGGCAGCAGGGAGAGACAGCACTTACTCAGAATCAAACACCATACCTTGATTAAGTGCCCTTCTTCACCAGGTTCTTCTGAGGTAAAAAGGCCCCAAAAGGCAAAGGATAAGAAAATAAACAGACAGAAGCACCAGGCTCCTACATTGGCTCAGTCTGTATTGGTCTAGTGTCTCTGCCATCTGGACCCATCAAAGACTGCTCTACAGTGTTGACCTAGCATATACACACACCCTATTACTGTTCATGCACTTTAAGACTATAGAAACTATGTCAGCCCTGTCTTCTTTGGTATCAGCTCTTGGCTAGGAACTGTTTTCCTCTCTGGCCTCTATACAGTGGTGCCTCGCTTAACAATTGCTTCGTACAACGAAAAATTCACTTAACGATGGCTTTTTCAGAGCAATCTTGTGCTTCACTTAACGATTTTCCCTATGGGTGATTTTCGCTTAACGATTTTGGGCCCATGCTTCACTTAACGATGACAGTTTTAGGTCCCCTTGTTTCGCTTAACTTTTTTTTACAGCCCCGTTTTTGCTATTTTTAAAATATTCTAAAATGTTTAAAAAATGTTTAAAATGCTTGGAATTGTTAGTGCACCTAATAAAACCTTCATTAACTTAATTTGGCTTTGTTCTGAGTCTTTTTGAATTTTTTGTGAATTTCTCTCCCCCCATTGAAATAGGCTTCAATGCATTTCAATGGGTTTCGCTTAACGTTTTTTCCTATGGGGATTTTCGCTTAAGGATGCATCTCTATGGGAAATGGTGTTTCGCTTAATGATGTTTTCACATAGCGATGTCACATAGCACCTTTTTTTGGAACCAATTAAAATCGTTAAGCGAGGCACCACTGTAATATCCCCAACTTCAATAAGAAAAAAGAACTTCAGATACCTGTGCCTGCTTCTAGATTTCATTGGTTTAGACCAGTGGTTCTTAACCTTTGTTACTCAGATGCTTTTGAACTGCAACTCCCAGAAACCCCAGTCAGCACAGCTGGTGGTGAAGGCTTCTGGGAGTTGCAGTCCAAAACTCCTGAGTAACCCAAGGTTAAGAACCAGTGGTTTAGAAAGACATCATTTTCAGGTTTTGCTTTCACCCCAGCCTCTCCGACTACCCTTGGTGCCGAAATGTTTTGTTTCTCAAGAAAATCACTCCAGAATGGCTGGGAAAATTCACCTCTTCCTCTAGAAAGCAGAAACCTAGCCTTTTGCTTTCCAGTCTATGGGACACCAAATATTTGGAATTATTTTTACAGATATTCAAAATTATCAAATTCAGATTATCAGGTGAATCTAGCGAATTCTGAATATTTCTGCATCTGAATGCATACCTCTAATAGATGTTCAAAAGCTTAGAGAAATATGGAAAGGAGAATTAGAAGGTAACATACAAACAATGGAAAATTGTATTAGAATCTGTATGGGATGTTTCGTTAGATTTGAAATTGAGATTGATGCAACAAAAATAGTTTTAGAATGTAGTGGACTCACAAAGGTTGTTTAGGAAGTGCTTGTCAAACTGTGACAACTGCTGAAGAAGTAATACTGGAAATGCATCCTTGGCACATGGGATCTGGGCTTGAATGTTCATACAATCATTGAGTTGGAAGGGGCCTGTAAGGCCATTGAGTCGAGCCACCTGATCAAGGCAGGAATCCAAATCAAAGCAGATCTGATAAATGGTTGTCCAATTTTGGTTTATTTTAGTTTGAAGTTATTGCATGTATGAATGTGGCATTGGGGAAAATGCTGGTATTTGCAGATATTTGTGTTCTCTTAAATCATATCCCTGTCCTATAAGGTCTAACAAATGGGTAACAAAACTGGACTTCATGAGTCTTTGTGGTGGCTAAGAGATGTATAGCGTAAACATCCACTGTCTGCTACAAGGAGGATCTGTTAGCACTAGCTGTATTTGAATAAGTATCATATAGATGCCAGTTTCATGTGGATGTGTATTTGGACACTTGGAAGGTTTGCATTGATTTATATGCTTAAGTAAAGATGTATGCAAATGTATAATGGGGTTCATAGTGAGTACTGTATTTTGTTTTCTTTCTATTTTAAATTTATTTTTCCTTTTTTGAGTTAAATCTACAAATTACACACACATGTATGTATGTGTGTGTGTGTGTGTGTTTGTGTGTGTGTGTGTGTGTTTGTGTGTGTGTGTGTGTGTGTATGTATGTATGTATGTATGTATGTATGTATGTATGTATGTATGTATGTAAAAGCCTCTGAAGGAGGTAGGCAAAAGAAAAATGGGTGCATGTTCTTCTCTTTTCCCGTGTCTTTCCTTGACAACATGGGCGTTCTGTCTTTTCTCACTGGCAGATTCCAGCAAGGAGGAGGAGTCTCCCCCATCCCCACTGAAAAGCAAATATGAGACCATGGATTTCGACAGCCTGCTGCAGGAGGCCCAGGAAAGTCTGCATCGGTAACAGCCTTAACCTGTGAGGAATACCTCAATACCTCAGTCAAGGCACTTCCAATATGTTTACGTTTTCAAAGAAATGATTAAGTATACAACACGAACGAGAGAGATTGAGAGAGAGAGAGAGACTGTTGTCCTTTTTAACTTGATGTTTACATTGAACAAGCTGCTTCTGTCTGTGAGTCCCCATGGTGTTGATGTTCCACTGCCACACATTAGTATCTTTGCTTCTGATTGGTTGTGTTAGAATGAGCCTGCAAAAGCCTCCTGTTCCCTCCTTGTCCGTCCCCCTTTCTCCAACTGGCCCCGCTTCCCTACTTCCGCTGTGGAGTGGCAGCTGTGTTCACCATTTCCTCTTCTTCTCTCTTTTTCTTTCTTTCTTTTTTTGTCTGTAGTGTGTGATGATGAAATTGTTAATTGTGAATAGAATCAAGATTGTAAACAAATTTTTAATAGAAGAAAGAAATATATACTTATAATGTATTTATGGCTCAGATGTACTGTAATTCAGATTTATTGTACCGCTTCCTTGATTTTTAACTATGCACTGTAATGAGGCACTTGCCCCTCAAGCAGATGTGGCCCCATCTAGAAGGGTCTCCTTCCGTTAGAAGCTCATCTGAAGCCGGGTTCCCCTCCTTGGTGAAGCATTCAGTCTTGCCCTTATCAAAGTGGGTTTGCAGGGTAGCCATTGATGTGGGGGAAATTCTGGGATGTCTTCTTCCCAGCCTCTGGCTGCACAAAAAATGGCTAAACTGAGATTCTGCAGTCTAGAGCTGGCTCTGAATGGATCAGAGTGGGGCCCTCAGGTAGCTGTTGTTTAAGAATGGTGTGAGGGAAGAGGAGATGTTGTATTCCCCTCCTCTTTATGCTGCATTGGCAGCAGTCCCAAAGCAGGGGAAGTGCCATCTGCCTTCCAAGGCCATAAAACCATTCACAGGAAAAAGCACGCTCCCTCAGACCAAAGGCCTGCCTGTTCCACCATCCTGTTTCCCATGGAGTCCGACCAGATGCCTGAAGGAAGCCCATGAGTACGGCTTGAAGGCAGTTTCCCTTTACCATAGCTGTTCTCCAGCAGCTCAGAGTAGCACAGCCTCTGACCGTAGAGGCAACATATAGCCATGGTGACCAGCAGGCATAGGACTGACTTACCTTCCATGCACAAGTTTTGTGATGAGACTGAGAAGGTCTGAGACCAGCCTCCCAGGATGATTATGCCAAAAGTTTATTAGTGCTGCAGATGCTGTAATAGCTGCCACTGTTTGATGAGGTCTGAAAATACAGGTGGTTTAAGGTACAAGAAGATGGAGCAGTTCATTCACGTTCATCACATCACTAGTAGTCTCAGGAATAGTTTTTTAAGCATCTGGTCATCTAACCAAAGGAAAATCTCTTGCCTGGTGAGGGGCAGGGGGAGGCCATTTCTGCAAGATCCAACAGAAGAAGGGTCAAACAAATCCTTGCCCATCAGCTGGCTTTGAGTACATTGTATTCAGATATAGCTAACAGCCATGGATCATCAGCCAAATGTCCCTGCAAATGCTACCATCTCTATGAGCTGAGTCAAATAAGCCATAAAACTTAAAGTCATTGCTCAAGCTTCTCTCTCTTTCCCACTCGCTGCCAGATTTAGATTTGGCCCTGTGTAACTGATAAAGAAACAAAGGAACTTGGCATTCTGTACCTTAGGGTGATTTGAGCAAATTTATTGGGAAGAACAGGGCTCTTGGTTGTTGTTCAAGATGCTGGGGCAGAGTATGTGTGTGAACTATATGCTTGGAACCCAGAATGGGCAACCTATAGAATGAGCCTCCACCCTCATTCTATTTCAAAGCAGTCAGTGCTTGCCATTGTTGGAGGCAGGACACAGTATTGAATGCATAGCATTTTAAAGCAGGCTGGCTGTCCCAGTGCTGTGCTTGGGTTTTAATGATCAGGGACATGAGAGAGGGAGAGACCTAGAAACCAACAGAAGAGAGAGCATTTTCTAGTAGGGACCAAATAATCTTCCTAAGTGCTCCATCAGCCACTGCATCTTTGTTCCATCCTTCACAAAAAGGGAGGCCTCTGGGATTCTGCCATCCCATGTAGATAGACTACAACAGCCTTAATTCTGCCAATAGATAGATAATCTTCCCTGAAGGTCTCTCAATCATAAACCTGCATTTCGCTTGAATGAAAAAGGCACAGATTGCCAAAGCCCCTGGCAACTGCCTGGTTCAGACCAAACTCGTGCCGTCCGAAGGTGTGCCTCTCCTTTTATCTTGGGAGTGGGCACATGTCAGCAATGCCATGAATTAAGTCAAGGGGCCTGCTTGTATACTGTCGCATTTGCACTAGTCAATTCTTGACTCTCATCCCCCCACCCCCATCCTTTGAGTAGGGCTTTTATAAAATAAGAGAGTTCATTTCACCAATAGCTGACAGATTACGTTGCTGTATTGGAATGGCTGCTGTTACATTTCTTGTACCGCCCCCTGTTTAGGAACATCTGCAGCAATTACATCCTAACCCCTGTAATCAGCCCAGAGCAAAGATTAGTCCAGACAATGCATCTGTTATTGGCAAGTGCCTCATTGTAGCTCTGCCTTTTTCTGTCCTAGTATTTCCTCACCACAATGATGTTTACATGTGATTGCTCTAGAGCTTACTGTAGAATGTACATAGCGACACATTTAGGATGGGTAGGACTGTCCTGTCCTGTGCTGTGCCGATGTTTTCAGAAAACAATCAAACAGATGAAGAAGCAGAAGAAAAGAATAATAACAACCACCCCAACAATCAGTAAGTGGAATTCTTCCATCTCCTGGGCCAGCTTATCTAAGGCAAATCAGAGTTCCCGGATGGCTTTGTTCAGAGAGATGGAAAATGCATCAAAGTGTAAGCATGTTGAAAGTGCTGAATGCAGCTGCAGAAGGGAGGGAGAAGGGTCATTCTGCTATCCAGAAGGAGCTGCTTTTGGTGTGAATTGCTTTCCAACACAGCTTTGTACTTACCTGGTTTTGTATCTCAAGTTACTTTCCAGAGGCTGGACTTCCCAATGACATCAGAGCATGCATATGCACACTCTTGGGGAAGAAGGGAAGATCCTGTAACGCACATGCCCTCTTTATCCTAGGGGTAGGGAGAGATGCAATAAGTGGTCTTTGTGTTGCCTGAAGCCTATAAGAGTTTTATTTCATTTTGTTTTTGCAAGAAACTGTCGCTAGAAACTTTATGCAATATGCACACCCATGCAAAAGCGCACACATGTATGGGGAGGGGAAAGGTAGTGATGGGGTCCTGAACCCCTCTCACTGCTGCTGCTGGGCAGAGCAAACACTGTGAGCCCCAGCAGTGTTGAATGTAGAATCGGAATGGTAGGGTTTGAAAAGCACGCACATTTAATGCTGGTTATGGCACACAACGGCCCGTGGCTTGTTATAATGGCTATCGGAAGCACAGAAACGTTTGTACCAACCACGCAGGGAACAGCATGTGGAAATCTTCTGCTTTAATTTACTCTTCCAGAAGCTTGGAAAGTTGCAGCCCCAAACAAGAATGTTTGTGGCAAGAGATCTCCATCAGAGTACTCCCAACAGGAACTGAATGTATTGAACATCCTCTGTTTTGTAGAGCAGGATATTGCATGGATCCACATGTGTTGCAAACAGATATTGAGATGCTGCTGATGAAAAGCTCAGTTCTTTATGAACAGGAAGCTATAGGTCATATAAGAGTCACTAGGATAGAACATGATAGATAGAACAGTATGGGTCAATGCGTTTGTGAACAGACCTGTGGAACTTGTGATCTGTGGCTACAAGTGGAGGCTTCAAAAGTCTAAGGTGGAAAAACAGGACGTTTATGGTCCCAGCCTAAAACACAGAGGAAGCATTTTGTTCATACTATAAGGAGCAAATTCTAAGCCTGAAGCCACTGTAAGTATACACAACTCGCCAAATTGAGTTTAAAGCTGGCAAAGGAAAAGGGAAGGCTATTCTTTCTGTATAGGACAGAATTAGAATGAGTTTTACATCCCACTATAGCCATAACTGCCGCTAAGATGTTCAGGCAGATTCACATTTGGTGCTGTACTCTTCAGCTTGTTTTGACTTCTCATGGGCAGTGCATGGGAGTTCCCCTGGCCAGTTAACTACAGGAGGAGATTTATTATCTGAATGGCATTTGTCTCTCTTAGAAACAGCGTGTTGTTGTTGTTTAGTCGTTAAGCCGTGTCCGACTCTTCGAGACCCCATGGACCAGAGCACGCCAGGCCCTCCTGTCTTCCACTGCCTCCCGGAGTTTGGTCAAATTCATGTTGGTAGAAACAGCGTACTCCTGTGCTTTTTTTTTTTTTTTGCAAAGTCTGCCTAAATCCCCTGCCAGCATTCTTTGTAGTAATAATATGTGTAACGCCAGCACCCTCATTTTCAAGGGGTAGGCTTAGCCATAACAACGAGCAACAGAACAAACCAAGCCCTTGTGAGATCAGGTGAGAAACCAAATAAAGAGAATTTATTTTCCAGGGTGTTTCGGAATAAAAGGGTGTTTTAAGAGAGGCAATCATGAGGGAGACATTTATTTTTTTAAATAGAATTATCTCTATATACGTAGGTGCCTGTGTGTGTGTTGCGCGCATGACTGTGTGTGTGCGAGAAAGAAAATTTACCCTTTTTTTTAAAGCAGGAGAAATTACAATATGTAAAAGTCATAAGCCATTTCTTTAGCCTTGGACTTTTAATAACCATTATTTTATGTGAGACACAGAATCAATATTGCTGGTATCAACAACTGAAATCTATAGATAATTTTATTTTTTAAAAAAGGTAGTATCATGAAAAGACTACACACACATAAGAACTCGGTTCCAAATCTCATTATCATTGTCCGTTGACAAGAAATAATCATCATATGTTCTTTCTGAGAGTGACGGGTCTGAGCTGTGCTACTCCATGAAACATTCACGTCTGCTTTATTGTGTATGTCCATGGGTGATATTAGATTGTCAAAAAGCCTTAGAGAAATCCAGTTCATTTGTCAGATGAAAATAAAAAAAGTCATTTTTTTATAGTTGAACATGTCTGCAGTTTGTTCTTACAGCAGGGTAGTCAGTTCATTAGCAATATAAGTGTCTGAAGCCTTTTGCTTCCCTCCCTTTTAGGAAGATTCTGGAAAGAGCCAGTTCTTTAGGCCTCATCCTAATCCATGGACTTGGTCATCATTTTTTTTTCATGAGTCCCTGCATTACTTACTGATTCCCTTGATTTAAGTAGTTACTAGCCCACTCACAAAATTTTATTCCCAAAATTGCCTGGCATGTTTGTGCATTCTTCATTTATTACCTCCAAGTAACTGCAGGTCTACTACTAGTAGCTGCGACTGGAGGGAATGCACTAGAGGTGAACAGCTATGGCAGGGTATAACTAACTTTTTCTAGAAACAGTGTTACAAAAAAAAATGTAACGTGTACACCAGCTTTATTGTTCGTGATGCACCTAACCTTGGGATCACGTGATGGACAGCCACCGTATACTCCCAACACCTGGGAAGTGAACATATCAGGGAGGTTCTGGACAGAGTCTTGGTGAAAACCAGTGCCAGAATCTGGCTTCTGTGAATCCCTGGAAATGAAGTAGGAAGGGATCATGTGGTTATTACCCTGAGATTCAACTTGGATTCTGTCAGGCAGGCCACATTATGCCCATCAGTCTCAGTTCATCTTCCTTTGAAAGACACACCATTATTTCATCTTAGGCTATGATCCAAGAGGCACAAAGAGCTCTGAAAAAGCAGGAGCTGCTCCGTTCTAAATTCTGTTTCGCAAATGAGTTCATGACCTGGAAGAGGATGGACAGCCCCCTTTTCACGGAGCACTGTGTGCATCAGAACACACCTGAACAGGTGGATACTTTTGGAAAGGATCACTTTACACTGAATTGGATTTTAAAAATAAACAAACGAAAATTCTGGGAAGTTTGTTTTCACTGACATATGGAAAAATCTCAATATGATGTGAATAGAAAGGCAAAGCCCTGCAGAGTCTGGTTTTAATACAGCAGTTGTTACTTTTAGGAGGCATTATTTATTAGAAAGCTGAAAAACAATTAATTAATACCACTACTTGCAGCATGTGTTTATGAATGTATGTGAGCCAGAGAGTGTGAAGGAGATTAAATTGATGCATTTCTTGAGAATGGTGTAAGAATTTCACCTAAAAGAGGGGCACATTTGCTATGTGTTATTTATAATAAAAGCTAGATTTTGCATTTTTGTTTCTCAAGAGGACACTGCTAATAATTAGAAGGGCCCAATTCTGCCTCTCTTTTACATGTATTAACTACGTGGCAACTTTCATCTGGGTAAGTAAAAGCAGTAGGATTGGCCCCTTTTGTAATCAATAAAGTTAATTTTTAGTTTGCTGTTTAAAAATAATAGAGGATTTTTATATTTCACTTAATTTTTTCCCAGTTGTGTTCTATTGTGTTCTTATTTATGTAATATACTTTAACCTTAATTGGCATAGATTCATATGCCTTTCCTTCGTTATTGTCATTTTTTAAAGGAAGATTTCTTTCTAGTGTGATTTCAATGTCTACCTTCTAAATGAGAGAACGTTTTCTTGTATTTTTACATTGTCAGATTCTATAGTTTCGTAGATGATTTAACCAAATTGCTCAATGTATTCTCTATATCTATCTGGTGGGTATATAAAAGTTCTATTTTAAATTGTGTAAATACTTCAGAACTGGCTTCTTTTTGAGACTCCCCTGCTGTGGAGTTACTTGTTTACATCACAAAGACTGTAGAATCTCTACATTCATGTACTGTAAATAGTGAAGTGATCTGCCTATAAATAAATAAACCATAACAAATATATTAAGAAGTCCAGTGTGTGTTGTTACAACTTTGTGTATGTGTAGAATCGAGTATACATCTTTGGAGTCTTAAATGTACCTTCTATAGTCATCTGTGGTAGATGGAGCTCTCCACTTCATGCCACTGTCTGTGATACAGTGACAATGTTGTTTGCAGCAAAGATATGTTGTTCTGTCACTCATATATACTGTATTTTTTGCACCATAAGACTCACTTTTTTCCCACAAAACAGGGGGGTGGAAAGTCTGTGCATCTTATGGAGCGAAGAAAACCTCTGTCACTCATATATACTTAGAAGGAAGGCCCAATGATATCTTATGTACAGCTGGTTACTAAGCTATACAAAGGTGATAAACTTTTTTCCTAGCATCTCCAACTTCAGCACGTTGTGGAGCAAATAATAAATAAATATGGCATACCTACACCATATGCTACTTTTGAGACACCCCTTTTAAATACTACCTCCAAAAAAGCAGTTAATAAACTCTATCCCTTACTTGTGGGTTTACAGTGATCTTTCATGTGTCCAAAATAAATGGAAAAATATCTAAGTAGATGCTGTCTTTCAGTACGGTTAACACAGAGTGGAAATGAATGTTTGTATCGATCCCAAGACTATTAAAAATGCAAATCATAAAGAACCACCTTTATAAACCAATCTACCAATGATCTTAAACTCCATATTAATTGACTAAAGTACTGATGTGTTATGTTGGAAATAAAAGACCTTTCAGGGTATCATCTGCCAAGAAATCTAAAGATTATATTACCGTGGTTGTCGTGGGTTTTTCGGGCTGTTTAGCCATGTTCTGGAGGTTTTTCTTCCTAACCTTTCGCCAGTTTCTATGGCCAGCATCTTCATAGGACAGGAGCAAGAACTCTGTTTGTGTTCTGGTGTAGTGTGTGGGATAGTTGAGTATTTGTAGCTGTGGGACCAGCTTTTTGTTCTTTCAGGAGACTGTTTCCTGTGATCATGGTGTTTTTTTTGTTATGGGTGTGGACAACTGGACAACACCAGCAATCATTATATTGGACTACACAGGGAAGCCATTGAAATCCACAAACACCAGCACAGCTTCAACAAAAAAGAAGAAAGTCTAAAAATCAACAAAACCTGGCTCCCAGCACTGAAAAATACAGCCTGCAAAAAGGTCAATGAACTCTACTCAGCCACAAGGTCCAGTGATCACTGCACACAAAAGACTAATGACACCCATCAATCACAGTGACAGGTCATCTCGCCCGTTATCACAACAAAACACCTGTAACAAAAAACACCATGATCACCATAATCACCCAATCTCCTGAAAAGAACAAAAAACTGATCCCATAGCTACAAATACTCAACTATCTCACACACTACACCAGAACACAGAGTTTTAGCTTCTGTCCTCTGAAGATGCCGGCCACAGAGACTGTCAAAACATTAGGAAGAAAAACCTACAGAACATGGCCAAACAGCCCAAAAAAACCCACAACAACCATCAGATCCTGGCCATGAAAGCCTTCGAGAACGCATTATACTACCATGTTTGTTGAAAAATGTGTCAGAGAATATTGATATGCATATGATAGCTACATAATTGTTGACTAGTTAAGGCAGAGGTATGAAATAAACCTAATGTTTAAAAATACCTGTTTTTAAGGGAATTAGAGTAGAGAGGGAGGGAGGGAGGGAAGAAAGATCTGGGGACTAGAAACCAAGCCCTAAGAAGAAAGTCTCAGGCATGTTTAGTCTTCAGAAAAGAAAACTGAGTGGCAAAAGGATCACACTTTTCAAATACTTGAAATACTATCATACAAACAAGGGAGATGATCTATTCTTGATCATCCCAGAGTGTAGGCCATGTAATAATAAATGGGTTCAAGTTACAGGAAGCCAGATTTAGGCTGAGTTTCAGGGAAAACTTCTTAGAGCAGTATGACAATGGAACTGAATACCTTAGGAGGTGGTGAACATTCCAACGTTGGAGGCAACAAGAGAAAACTTATACTATCATACAAACAAGGGAGAGGATCTATTCTTGATCATCCCAGAGTGTAGGGCATGTAAAAATAAATTCAAGTTACAGGAAGCCAGATTTAGGCCAGAGTGTAGGCCATGTAATAATAAATGGGTTCAAGTTACAGGAAGCCAGATTTAGGCTGAGTTTCAGGGAAAACTTCTTAGAGCAGTATGACAATGGAACTGAATACCTTAGGAGGTGGTGAACATTCCAACGTTGGAGGCAACAAGAGAAAACTAGACGGCCATCTCTCAGATATACTTTGATCTGGAGTCCTACACTCAGCAAGGGTTTGGGCTCCATGGCCTTATAGGCCCCTTTCAACTCAATTATTCAATTATTCGCTTTTATTCCAAGAGGTAAGTGAGCCCTGTGGCGCAATGGTTAAAATGCAGT